GTCTGTCTGTCTGTCTGTCTGTCTGTCTGTCTGTCTGTCTGTCTGTCTGTCTGTCTGTCTGTCTGTCTGTCTGTCTGTCTGTCTGTCTGTCTGTCTGTCTGTCTGTCTGTCTGTCTGTCTGTCTGTCTGTCTGTCTGTCTGTCTGTCTGTCTGTCTGTCTGTCTGTCTGTCTGTCTGTCTGTCTGTCTGTCTGTCTGTCTGTCTGTCTGTCTGTCTGTCTGTCTGTCTGTCTGTCTGTCTGTCTGTCATTAATTAATTCCTTTAGTATTATATAAATTAATACTGTAAGTAAGATGGCTTTCAAATGGTGCATCTCAAAAGCAGAGTAGAGCTATAGTACCCAACATGCATCTGGTTTTATAGCGACATGTATCAAAAAATTTGTAATCAATTTTAAATATTCTTTATTTGTGCATGATTCTGATATTCTTTGCACTCACAAGTTTTTTCCAAAGCTTCTTTGATCTAGTGTATGATATATCAGCACCCGTAATTGATCTGTTTCATTCACAGAGCACGTTATTTGCCAATTAGATTGTTATTCCCCTGCGAGGCATTTATCTTCCAAAGATGTTAATAAAATGCAATGAACAGGATTATATTTAACTTTAGTCTTAGAAACCTAAAGTATGTAAAGGTTAAAGCTTGAAGAGCAGCAATTATTGGGTCAACTACGCATAGCATTGACTTTGAGGGCCATCAACTGCTTTTACAATTTCAAGTACATGTGCTCTCTCTATTTTTCAATCTATGAGATTGCCTTGAGCTATAGCTTTGAAGGGTGCAGAATTTTTCATCAGTACCAATCAATAAATGTAATTGATTGACTCTGCAATGTGACAAGAATGGGTGATCATGTTGTATTGACATTTATGACGTTCATCAATAACTTTACTGCAAAAACAATATTTACTATGGAAGGAATTTATAAATCCAAACATAGCACAAGTTATTCTACTGCTATATGTACTGCCTGTATAGCTTATGTTTATGGTAATGGTTCTAGGAATTGTGCATATATACGGTGCATTTCCCTTATTCATAGTTATGGTCTTATTGTTGTTGAATTTGGGTATCTGAAAGCAGTTTATTTTTTGGATATATATTCCAACATGTATGGATAAAATTACAATTTGTTTAAGTTCTGGCTTTTTCATTGCTTTATTTGTCAGTTGAATCAAAGCATATATACAAGCCAGAATTTGTTATGTTTCAAAACACCTGTCAACGTACATGCTGCTCTCTGATTGGTCCAACAGTTATGTGTTAAGAGTTTGGTAGCCAATCAGGCGCAATCTTGTATGTCACCTCATCTTGACTCTGATTTGCATGTTTTGTTGTATTCAAGATATCATCTCAACACCCAAACAACTTTCCACATACATGTACATTTGTATCCATAAATGTGACTGAATTTCAGCATACAGTGAAATGTCTGGACAGTGACATTTACCAGAAGTGTTTTTTTGCTGACTTATCAGCTCAGCATTAAAAATGCTGATTTGTAATTAAAGCACCATCATGAAGCTAGAAGCCAA